TTCACTATCAATACCCAAATTAAAATATATTTTTTCACCCATTCGTGATACACCTTCATCTTTGTAATGTGGGTTTAACAAACAAGCAGTTAAATAAATTTGAGGAATAGGAATAAAATATTTTTTAAATTTTTCAATCATTTTCTTAACAGATGCTTCAAATCTTGGTTTATTTTTGAATTTATAAAATTTATTAGAAATAGCACAAATATTAGGTAAAACAGAGCAAATAGTTGGATAATAAAGTGCAGATATTTTTTTTGTAGTTAAATAAAAAACTTTTAAGAATTCTATAAGTTCTTTTATGTTATTCCAATCACTATCATCAAGTCTATATGCCATATTTGAATTATGAGCATTCCAAACCATTTGTAAAGGTTTCCTATATTCATAAGCAACTTCAAGCATTTCAAATAAAGAATTCCATCTAGTACACACTGATTTTGGAATTTTTCTAGGTGGAAGATTAAATTCACGACAACGATTTTCAAAATCTCTACGTCTAGACTTAACTTGACATTTAAAAATAAAATGACATGCAGTTTCAACTTTTGTGCAACCATCATCATATATTGCTATACCATCTCTAACAATCAAATTATATATGTGTGCAGCACACCTAATATGAAAACCATCAATATAAATAGGGCAAAGAGACGGTTTTAGTAATTCAATAGCATTACTATTATTAGAAGCATTATCTAATGTGACACTACTTATTTTATCACAAATTCCATAGTTTTGCAAAATATCTATAATTGTTTGAGCTATATAACTACCGGTTTTTTGCATTTCACAACATTTATACCCTAAAATTCTTTTTTGCAAAGTCCAATTTTCATCAATCCAATGCGCAGTAATTGTGAAATAATCATTACCATTTACACTACGGCCCATATCAAAAGTAATAGCTATTTTACAATTATATTAATAAAATAAACAACGAAGATATTGAAAATGTTGAGCTTGATAATCAAAGATAGCCTTTTTAATTGTATTTCTAGTAAAACCTTTAAAATGTGGATTATACACAATTTGAATATAATGAATAAAACCGGGATTTTCAGCAAAACTAAATGGCAAACCCATAACAACAATCATTTTAGCTAATTCTTCAAGATCTTTTTCTCTACTATATGACCGTGGTATACTAGAACCAAAAACATTAGAAGAATTTGATTGTGTTTGGACCATATTAGAGCCCTCTACTCCTACATTTTCAGGAAGAGTGGTACCATTCTTTTTAGCTTCGGCTACAGCTTTAGCATGCAAAAATTCATTTTTACAACATGACATTAAATGATTACTCAAATGTCCCGTCCCACCCTGTTTTCCTACAGTTTTATGATTCATTCTATGTTTACATTTATTACAAATAACTTGTGTTTTATCTTCATTCTGAGTCATAAATTGCCAAACAACTGTTTTTCTGGCGCGTTCTACCTTAGTCCTAGAATGCACGGGGGGAACGGGAGCAGGACAACGAAAGGGAGCGGGAGCCGGGGAAGAGGGATTGGGAGTGGAACTATTAGCTAACGGTGGCTCAGTTTCATCATCATCATATTCATCAACATTATTATCAAAACTATCAATATAATCATTAACATTATCATGTTCATCATCTTCAGGTAATTCCTCATCAAAATTACCAAACCTTCTTTGTAAATGTTCATGATAAGGATCTAATCCACTATTACTATCAATATTAAAAATAGTTTCATCAACATGCGTATAATCATCCGTATTTATTCTTAATTGAGAAGTTTTTTTAGTTTTAGATTGAGAAGTACTACCTAGTTTTTTTGTTTTTTTTGGATTTTGAGCTCCATAAATTAGTGATCGAATCAACTATGATTGTTTTACCCTTGTCAACATTATTTTTACCGAAATTCATATTCAAATATAAAAAAGTGAATAAATTATATATAATACGAAGATGTAATGCAAAATTTTAAACAAATAAATAAGTAGAGACTAGACACTAATTACTCACAAAATAAATAATTAAATGCAAACAAATATATAACTAAATGAAAAGTGAGTTGGAACGAATGTACCAAACGTCTACTTTTTAAGTAGACGTGTATGACTGGAAGCCGAAAATTGAAAGTTGAATTTTGAAGCTCCAATTTCCAAAGACCAAATTCGTACTTTTAACGAGAATAAGAGAATTTAGAGAGTAGAGAGAGTAGAAGATATTTTTGTGAGTGAAAAGAATGAAAGATTAGGGGTATTTATGTTAAAAAAAGGATGAAAATGTAGTTTTAAGAAGTTTGGGGTATTAAAAAAAGTTTGGGGGTAGGGAGGTGTAAAGGGGAGTTATGGGGGTGAAAGAGCCGTTGGTAGGGCCCAAAACCCGTTGCCCAACGGCTCTCAACGGCTATAATTTAAAATTTACAATTAAAAAAAAAAATTAAAAAATTGAACGAATCGGACCGGAACCGGGACTAACCGGACCGGTAAATCCCGGTTTCCGTCCCGTTACCCCTCCCGTACCGGTACAATACCGGATCGAATCGGTAATTTCCGAAACCGAGATGGAACCGGTAACAGACCGGGACGGACCGGAACCGGTAGCTCCCGGTTCCGTTGCCACCCATACCGACGACAAAATTTCACACTGGAGTTCATTCATAATACAAAATTCCAGGCAACTTACCAAACTATAGATCCAATAATAAAAAGAAGGCGAAAGGAAATAAAAGTTCTTGAAACTCGATGGAAAATGAAAAAGGAAATTCTTTTCAACTAGCAGAAAAAAACCCTTTGTTTTTGTTTCAACGGGAAAATGCTTCCAATCTGCATGACCCTTCTTCTAAGTGGCATTCCTAAAGCAAACCAACTGTGCCCACCAATCTATAGGAATCAAATAAGCAACACCTTTATTGACATCCCCTTTTCTTGCAACTCTATCCAACGCTTCTTTACCATGCAACTTATCAGTTCATATGTACATTCTGGTGATTGAAAACACTAAAAAGTGTAGACCTACAATTACTTAGAGAAGGTGGCTCAAAGACCTACAATCAGTAGGAGTCGATGTAGACTTGGGTAAGATAGAGCACAACTAGTTGTACTACGGTTTCGTGATGTTGCCACACAACATTAGATTTTAAGTACGGAAAAGTGTGAGATGTAGAGAAACGCTATTTTTAAGGACCCCCAAAACATGCCTTCAAAGACAAATTACTTGCAAGTATTTAAATAACCCGAAGTAGGTGTATTTCATTGATTGACCAAGTCAAAATTGAAATCACTACATCAACTACAATAATGTCAAAAGAAGATATTCCTCAACTCTCATTACAAGAAAAGAACTACTCACCTTTAGAAACTCAACATTGGTAATATCCCTATTCAGTTGCAACTTGGCAGCTTCAGTTACAGATGCTTTCTTTAGCTTGGCACTCGGTCCTTCAGCCATAAAAAGATCAATTACAACTTTCCTGAGAACCCACATTATGTATTAGTCATAGGCCTAGGTGTTCATCAAGCATTTTTACTTATAATAGCAATGGTTACTAACCTCAATGTGTCATACTGTGGATTATCTGGCGACGACTTCAAAACATAGACACCATGGATGTTTACAGCAACCTGATTAATCACTGCCTGTATCTCCTCTTGAGGTGCATCAAAAACATCAATGGATGCAGTTATAGCTTTCCTTGGAGCTCCCTTTGGAGGATATGACTTAGAAACTCCAAGTTTTCGCAGACCTTGGCGGATTTGTTGGAAACTGACAAAAAGTAAACAGAGGATTCTCAATCTGTTAGGGGTCACAAATTTTGATGGAGAAAATCATGCTAATAAACAAGTCATGCACATTTTCTCTTGAAGAACAAAAATGCTCTGTTCCTTCTAAATCGTAGACAGGTGAGGCGGACAGGAAAAAAACAATGTAATATATTCTATGTTATGATCCATTCCCATTATAGAGAAGTAAAGTAGATATACCACATACAAGAAAGACAAAGTGTGAATCATGTAATGGACAATTTGGACCTAAATACTCGCACAACTCACCTCAACTAACAAGTCAACATAAACAGGACTTTGAGGGACAATGGATCAACACTGCTCAAACGTATTAAAATATTTGAAAGCAAAGAAATGTGTCCTATAACTAGACCATCTCATCCTTTTAGAAAACTGGTCATACATGGGATGAAACAATCAAATAGAGGAAGGGTGAAATCAGGAAGAACTGTGTTAAGAGGTAAATGACTTACAGGGCAGATTAAAAAACCACCTATTTACACATTCCATAAGATCCAAAGGATAATATCAAAAGCCATTAAAAAGGTGATGTTATTACTTATTAGTGAGACAAGATTAGGGAGACAACAGGTGACAGAAGTTGGAGGGAGCAAAAGCAATTTTAGAAAGCCCAGACATGATCACCAATTTTAGAGCAATCAAACCAAGGTCAATAAACCACCTCATTGACCCAGGTTTCTGCAAGAAATCATTCAGCCATGCAATTTATCACAATTGGAGAAGTGCTCCAAACCTATTTACCAACTCGGTCTTCATCAAATAAAGTGCTCTATTCTCTCCTTTGCAAAAAGTATAACCAACTCCAACTTCATAAATTCCAAAAAAGTGAAAATTATTTGAAATCCATGGCCAGACACCTACTTACTCTCAGACTAACAATTTGTGCGACTAAGATGAATACCCAAAATCACTGTTCACTGGATATTAAACAACAAAAGCAGAAATTTAATAAGTCATTTTCAGCGATCTCACCTGCAAACCTTATAAGTTCTAAAAACTTCTTGAAGCGCCTTTGGCAAAGCTTCTCGAATTTCTTCGGACATAGATGTTCTCAAAAGTGAGCTAGAAGTGGGCTTATCACCACTTGGCAATGCAGGAATGTCGGCATTAGGGTTTAAAGGATTCTTCATAGTAGGCCTGTTTCTTCCTCCAGGCAAAACATCATTGATCTGTTTCCCCAAGCACTCCCAGGTAGCTTGCTTCTCTCTCACAACATCACCATAAAGGTTTTCAAATTTCTTGTCAGGATGCTCTTTGAGCTTCCAATCATTCAGGTCAGGCCTCTCGACAGCTAATGATTTTAGTGCTGGTGTCGCAGCTTTAAGGAATTCAGGCCTCCTGCCAAAAACTGACTTTTTAATTAAGATACCCTTGGTAAACTCGTACAGAACGAAATTCCTCGCTAAAACTTCAACTCCACTATTCGTTCCATAGACTAATGAACTTTTTGGAACCCACAATCCTTGAACTAATTGTGCATGTATTTGGAGGACTCTTATAATCTCATCAGCAGAATTATCTAGCGCTAGGTGCTTTAAAGCATCAAAACGATGAATTGGAGGCCCCTGTTGCAAAATGAACTCAGATTTAGAAATGTGCTGCCTTTGTGAGCTATAAGGGCCATGGGGCCATGTATATGAACATTGCTGAAGGCATAAGAATATACATGCAACGCACAATTCAAATAGTGGGTACAAACCTCAAGAAGCCGAGTTCTAACACGTTCTTCAAGTGGTAATTGAGACAACCTGAAAACCATCAATTTGACAGTTTATACATGCAACCTGAATATACATGCAACGCACAATTCAAATAGTGGGTACAAACCTCAAGAAGCCGAGTTCTAACACGTTCTTCAAGTGGTAATTGAGACAACCTGAAAACCATCAATTTGACAATTTACAAGCTAGGACCATATAATGGGAAAGAATGTTTATTAAAGATAGTTGAGAAACATGGCATATCAAGAAAGGCTATCTATTCACATGTCAGGGATATTAGAATGAAGAAACAGCAAATTTCTGGCTAGAGAAAGAAAATAAAAGAATCACAAACAGAAGCAATTCAAGTCAGAGGTTGCATATTTATGTCAAACTATGCCAGGCTGTCAGCACGGTTTTATTTATTTAAACACGTCTTGAAGACACCCTTCACGTATGGGACAAGCACGTGAAAAATTCCTTTGATAATAGTGACGGTGAAACTCAAAGTAAGGACCTCTTTTTCTGCTTTGATTTATCCATAGAGTTGTTTGTGTTTATGTTATGTTATCTTTACAATTTACATGATTCACTTTTTCTTCAGTAAAAGGCACACTTCAATTGTGCCACGCAATTCAAGTCTGAGTAACCTCCTTTTCCTGCTTAACTTACCACTTCATGGAGTTAGTATATACACCTTCATATCCCCAGCAGACCCATGGGCGGGGCTAGAGTTTCGGTTACAAGTTCAGTCAATCACAATAGCTTTGGTTCAAACTCTGTATTATTTTAAATTCATTGAATAATTATAAATTATTAATTAAGAACCCAATAACTTCAAACTAGAATACTTAACCCATATGCTTCAAATCTTGGCTCTACCTCTGAGTAGATCAGAGATTTTTATTTTTTTTTTGGCTTTACGACACTGACAGGACCGAGAGAAATTAGAGTCTAGACTGTTTTTGAAGTGTCTCTTAGAGGGAACACCAATATGTACTTTAACATAAAATATAGAGCAAGTCCAGCCATCAAAGTCGGGGAAAAATAATAGACTTGCTACTAATAGATCCATGGCACAACATTTGCCAATGATTAGCTAGACCTTAATGTTTGAGTGATTAATAGCTTGCATGCCTTTCTTTATGTACTTTAACATAAAATATAGAGCAAGTCCAGCCATCAAAGTCGGGGGAAAAATAATAGACTTGCTACTAATAGATCCATGGCACAACATTTTGCCTAATGATTAGCTAGACCTTAATGTTTGAGTGATTAATAGCTTGCATGCCTTTCTTGTGTTTACATTCTCTCCTAATTTTCCCTCAAATATTATTTGCTCCAGTTTCATACATTCTCGCTACTCCCCGTGAGTCTAAGCCAGAGTATTCCTGTGCCCCCTCTTTAATTAGAGAGATTTTTCCCCAGCTCAGAAAAATGTATCTACAAATTTAATATATGAGAATTACATTCATTGATGTTGCAATAAGGCTTAATTACTATGTGAACCTGATCTCTGACATTGTAGGAAATTACCAGTCCATCAACCAAAGACAAGTCAATTGCTAACTAAAAACACTAGATTATGAACAAGTAATCAAAGATCATCACAAACCTCAACTCAACATTATACAGAATGCAAAAAGTGAATAAATAAATACAAAGAAAGAAAGCAAGAAATAAGGAAATGCATTACAGTAATTTGCAATTTCCATGGAAAAGAAAAAGAAGATAATTTGCAGGTAGTGAAATGGTCCAGCAATAGTGCAATACTAGAGGATGATAACACCCAACAATAAAGAAGAAGACGATCTATATGATCATAGATGTAAATAATTTTTTTGTTTTTGTCCTTAGCAGCTCCTCCAAACCTTTCAATGTCAAAACACACGATGTGAAGGACCAATTAGAGTGGCTGCAATACCTTGTTCGGAGAATTTTTAATCTGTCAGTGTCAATTGGTCTTCCAGGACAAAAGGCATTCAAATAATCAACCCTGCTTATCGAATAAGAAAAGAAAACTGGTATTAGAATGAGAGTAGATAAATGTATGCTGTGAGGCAGGGAAAATGCTTCTTTTAGTTGTCCTGAACAGCAGCAGTTTGCCCAAAAAAAATATCGTTCAAGCAAAGAAAAATAAACCATATTAGCACACATACGGGCTCATTGAAAATGGTACTGGAGAGCCTTCCTCCATGGCCATTTTCTGCAGATATCTGGCTCAAATGTCACTCCTAGCCCCATGGTATTTTAGATGTAACCAATGCTAAAACAGGAAAAAAAACAGATATTAATAACTTCACAAGGATCTGCATCAATGAAACTGTTTGGAATGAAACTTGCAACTGCGTGAAGAAAGCTAACTGCTCTTGAGCAAATATAAATAGAAAACACTTGCAACAGAAACGTCATTTCAAACCATGTAGGTGAAAAATCAGCAGCCACTCAAGCTAAAGAATAATATGGAGAGTTATTAGTTCATACTGAAAAGCAGAAATTTTGTGAGTACATGTTCACAGGTGTACATACCTCTCCAATATCCTTTTCTATCCCAGGTGGTTTTTTCTGCACAAAAGGTATATGTTTCAAGAATAAATCAAGGGAAAAGAAACACACTTTTACAAAAATCTTGTACAACATCATGGAAGGATAGCCTAGTTGCAAAAGATTCTCCACCTCCAACAATAAAGTTGGGGTTGACTCGAGTCACCAATTGAGGCGAAGTGGAAAGGCAGGTAGGTGTGGCATTTACCATACAATAAAAAGTAAGACTTGAAGTAGCAGACTGCTTAACTACTGAAGACCTATCTTTAGGCATTCCCGTTATCATTATTTATCCAAAAATGTGGCAAACCTAGTAAAGCAGGAAATGGGAAGTCCTTGACATATGATATTTTAAGTGCTAGCCAATGATCTGTGCCATAATATCACATGAAAGTGGTCATATACAAGGTCCATACAAGTTGAGCTTAGGAGCTGTCATCAAAGAGAAAATCATGAAATGAACCTGCTTCTTTGATGGTCCCACGGGCCTTTTCTCCTTGACGTCTTCAGTTAACACTTTTTTCATCATTGTTGGTGGTAACGTTCTTCTTCAACTCACTTTCCTTAAGATTCCGCTTTGATGGCCGGAGTTGTACAACTGCATGAACAGGATTGAGGTGTAACTGCATAACAAACGGGAAGCAAGAGCGTGACTATGGAGAACATTAGTAAGCTTTAATATTTTTCTTTTGACTGCAGAAATGAGCTTCAAATCACTATTAGCAAACCCAGAAATTTAGTTAAAGTTATTCACACCAATGTATATAAGAAACAAAAGAATATAGCTAGAATAATGTGACAACATTTTACTACTAAGGAATAGTTTGGTGTGAAGTATAAGGTATAATAATCCCGGGATAAAATGCAGGATTATTATCCTACATTTGGTTGGAGGTATTAGGTAGTCCTTGGATTATTTATCCCACCATTTATACCATAGTGATGGGATAAGTTATCCCATATACATGGTGGAATAACTTATCACAGAATAATGAATCCCTCGAAAACTTGTTCCCAACCAAACAACCCCTTAGTGGCAGAACTTGGGGTGAATAAGAGAGCCAGAAGCACTATACTATTATAGCAGTTCCAGACCGCTAGATAACAGTAGAGTCAGATTTGACAGAGGATGATTTGCTTCAACTTGAAGCTGATATAAAATTGACTTGATCACACTTGAAGTTGAGAGAGTAGCTACTCGACATTGTTATGGACTTATGGTCCTGATTAGATTTTTAAAAAGAAAAAGGACAACAACTGAAAAATGCATAAGCACATACAGAAACTGCAGAAGACTAACTACTAGTCAATCAAACTTCATGAGGGAGTTAAAGATGCATTTAAGCCATCAACAACAAATTGTTTACCTTATCGCCAATGAGGACCCCAACAGCATATCCAGAGGCGCAAGTTGGTAATGGCATCCATGATGTAGAAAGCATCTGGAATATGAGAAACAATCAGATTCTGGCTAAAGAAATTAGAACTGAAATTCCTGCTAAGGGAACAAATATCAAGTGCAGAGTTTCCAGAATCTAAATGTCAAAGTTCGCAAAAAACAACCTCATTATCCTACACCTAACAGCAGAGTTACAACCAGGAAACTGGACGATATATATGTATAAAGCAGCTGCCGCAGGCTTTGAAGGTGACAGGCACCACAATTTTAACATCTTCGTGCCATTTAACTAGTAAAAGTTTGACGTGCAACTGATTCTAATTTCTCTGGTGGATGAAGAAGTACAAACATTCTTGTTTTCGCCACAAGAATAGTTCATTATTTGTTCAAATTTCACTCTCAAACTCCGTCTTGAATCAGTGTAGCTTGTAGAATAGAATAAGCGGACAACTGATATAACAAATCCCTAAATCAAACATGATAATAGAATTCCGAATACATAAAGATTAGTAACAAAAATAACATGCCTGTTTGAGCTATGAAAACTACCACGCACTCAACTTCCTCAAAAAACTGTGTAAAATTTCTACCATCACTGAAATAATAAGGTTGGAATTTACAAAATAAACAAACTCAATGACATGGACAAGTAATATATTCTCGAAAGAAAAAAAAACATCAGACAGAAGCAGAAGTAGACATTTGTAATGTCTGACCAGCTTACGTGCAACTTGACTAATTCCACTAGACAAAAGCAGACTTAAACACAACCGGAGCTAGTAAACAGGAGAGGACAGAATGTCGCCAACTAGGAGATGATCCCGCAGAAGGCACAAGATTCCTGATAGTAAAAACATTTCCTCTCAGTGTTTAAGCTACAAAGTTGAGGAAGTTCAAAATTTTCTCATGTTTTCATCTTGTGAGGCTGTAGGTGGTAATGTGGAAGATGAGATCACAGCATGGTAAGAAGAAGATGCTAGCTGTGCAAATGCTGGAACAGCACCACCTGCAAGGTTTCAACCATGGAAGAGAATGTCAAATGGAAAAAAAAAAGGAATACATTCATGATTTACTCATGTCAAGAGCATACAATCTAGAAACAATAATAGGTAAAACAAAGAGCAAGTTATTTTACAGAATAGACGGGAGGTAAACGCTTAGAAGAAGTAAAATTCAAACCTGCTAGCCCTGCACATGCAGATGAGAAAACAATCACAGGAGGAGCCTGCATAAACCCAACACAAAAAATTACAAAAACAACATTTAAACCGTTTATGAAAAAAGCTCAGCTAAAAATTAAAACCATTCAAGGAAAAAGAACACTAAAAACAACCAGAGAATAGGAGTACAACAACAACATATCCACTGTAATCCCACAAGTATTTATACTTTTGCCATGTATGTAGATATGCTTTACTATTGCCTAAATTATTTATGACTCAAAGGTAGTGCTGACAATATATAGAATTTACAAAATGGAAGTCTAGTGCATTTAAACTTAGTAGTTCCAATGTATGCTAGCATCTATAAGCTTAACTGAGAATTCATTACAAACTTCTTCTAAGCCTCTTTGTACAGTATACCCTTTGTATCTCGCAATATAAGGAAATAGAAAGAAAAAAAAAAAGGTAACTTACACCAACAAGGAAATGCAACCACATAGGTCCTTTAACACACCTTCTGACAATCGGCATCACTGCAAGTAGGAATCAGAGGAATAAGATAGAGACGAGACATGTTGGTTAACATTAATATGATCGTCATTCAGACAGCATTTTCACATTAACGTGGATACCAGGTCCATTAAAAAAACATTTATGCACAGTATTTGTACATAAATGAATCATCTCAGATTTGACATGTCTATTAAAAAAACAAATTCCACCATATAAAGTCGAAAAAAATAGTATTTAGGCTCCAGTACAGATATGAACTTGATTAAAAAAGGCTCAATGACTCAAGAGATGCTTCCATGACAGACATACATTTATCCTCAGAAACCAGAAATGCATCTTCTGTAAAGTAAGAAGAATGATTTACAAAGAAACATAATACTACCAAAGATCTTTGCTCATCTTTTACACATTTTTAATGCATGTGGTGTTGTTCATCAGAAATCCTTTGATAAGTATACTGTAAACACTAAATAGTACTTAACTACTAATAAGATGATTAGAACATCAACAGTAAAAGAAATTTAACAGCAAACGTTCAACTAAATTGTTAAGAGTTCGACAGTTCCTTTCCTCTTCTTCTGTGATAGGCAAGATTTATGCGATAATTGATTTTATAAGAACTGATTATCAATGATTAGAAAGTTGCCACAGCCTAAGAGGGAGTTATATGAAGCTAAAAGTGTGAGCTTCTTTAAATACTCTTCTTAAAGAAGAACACCAGCAGAAGAATGTCGATATCCCATCAATTTGCAATTTCTCAATTAGGAAAAATTGATGTTAATTAGCCTCAAATCACGTAAGATGGCCAACCAGATGCCAAATTAAGTCCAAACCTTTGGAAATGGAGCTTAGGAGATGCCAAAGGCAATTTCTATAAAAAGACAGAACAAAACATGGAATTTTCCAGTTTCTTGGATTATCATTAAAAGAATAAGACATTCCATGTTCCTCCAAAACTAAGGAAAAGGATATGCTTTGAAATGAAATTATAATTAGTCAAACTTTGAAATCCCAGAAATTTGAGGCATATTCCTCAAAAGGTAAGGAGACATTTGCAACTTAGATTGAACGTTTCAGTGACCCAGGAATTTCTGAACATTGTAAAGAAAACAAATATAGAAGCAAAAAAGGACATTCCACATATACAAAAATAAAGTTCCAGAACCAAAATTAATCTTTGGCATCTTCCATTAGATAATATAGGTAAACCAAATGGCATGTTGAGCCCTAAGAGAGAAATGTTTTAGGTGATAGAACCAGTGAGTGACTAATGCAGAAATTCTTCCCATTTTATTTTCATAGAGTTACTTTCATCATGTTACAGCATGGTTGGGTTGCTATATGAAGAAGATTATACAACAAGTCAACAATTACATATTCATTCAAACTAATTGAAGTCGGCTATATGAATCACCAATATACGTTTTGCTACATATAAAGCAGATTATAATCAATACACAATATTTCACCTCTGAAAGGGGTATAAATACATAGAGCATGTTAGCAGCAAGGATACGAATACAAAAAGAAACTAAGGAAGATGGTCAAAATACTGCTAAGTACCATGGTTGAAGCCATAGAATGCGCTTGTAGTACCACCAACTGCAGAACCAATCTGAAATATCAGGAAAGTAGTTAAGTAAGAAGGAAGGGGGTGGGGGGGAGATGAATTAGGACAAGCAGATTTAGTAACAAATCGGAGTGTAATAAAATACAAACCGCTAAGGCAAAAATTTTAAAACTGTCCCAATTTATGCTATAGATTTTCTACTGGCGATTTCATCAAACACTTTTTAAATTGGGGGGGGGGGGGTTCAGATAACATTTAAAACATCTCTAACATTGGTTGGTATTTTTATTTTATGTAACTGTCATATGTTTCAACATTCAAGAATTAAAATTTATTTAACAATTCAACTTCAAATACCAATGTTCCCGCTATAACCAATTTTTCAAGTATGAATTCTTCAAAGCTTCCTTTACTGCTAATGCTTTACATTATGCATATGCAATTTAATTTGTCAAATCCAGTGGTCTATTCAAATTGTGCACCATAAAATAAAGAGAGAACCGGATTTTATCATTCAAGAATTGGAAAAACAAAGTAGTGTCAATGTAAATCATTGATATCGAACCATAGAAAAGCTATCCCGGATTAGAGGAGGAACTGTCCACTCGCTTGTCTCCTGCAATGGAATGAGAGAATCACTCATACATATAACATTGTATTAACACTCAGAAATACAATGAAAAAACACACAATTTTTTTTTAAAAAAAAAAAGAGTACAAGAATCTGTTGTTTACCATCTCCTTAGAAAGAGGACCGGTGCAATGTGGACATCTCATATTACTAAAACTATTTTTGTTCATTTTGTTATAAGATTCTTTGTCTCTTCTAGAAGATGGTTCATTTGTCATCATCAATTCTACAGAATCTCTGCACACAGGTTCGATTAGAATGAAGGAAGCACAAATATCATATTAAAAGATAGCAAGTAAAGAAATAGTGCACATGTTCAATTAGAATGAAGGTAACACAAACACTTGAGCAGAATTACATGCTTAGGACCCGTTTGGCCATAGATTTCCCAAGTAATAATTTGGGGGAAATAAATTGGCAAATAGTGTTTGTCCATACAAATTTGTCATTATTTGACAAATACTTTGGCAAATATCCCAAATTCCCAAATACTAGTTTTTTCTAGTATTTGGGCTAAATCTCATTATTTGAGATCTTTTAAAAAATTGAAATTTTACACCAAACTTTTATCTTTTTACAAAAACACCCTCTATAGTAGTTGTTTGCGTTGTATTACATATTTTTTACGTGAACACCAAAGTAGTGATGAAATATTCAATGAATATGAAAGTGATGATATGATTGTTGATGAAAATGATGAACAATCGGTTCAAGGTAACAAAGTCATGTGTTTTTTCTACTTCACGATGTATGGAATGATGCTTGGTGCACTCACTCCAAAACTACCACATTGCTCCAGTGTTATGGACACTACTTGTTATTTGTTGACTTGTAATACAAACTTATTGTTAGTTTTGATAGTTTTTAAAAATTACGGGTATAAATCATATTTTCTAAAAAAGTGAAATGTGTTTCCCAAATACTATGGCCAAACACATGGTGAAATTTCACCCAAATTTTCACCTAAATAATATTTGCCAAGAATATTTGGAAATCTATGGCCAAACGCTAGCTTAAAATGTTAGTCTCAGTCCTTTAAAATAACACCGTGATGCTTAATGTTGGTGCTACACCAGTTGAGTATATTTGTTACTAACACAGACAAGAACAAATAACACATACAGAACTCACTACAAAATTCTCTATGGTAATATATCCAATATCAATTTAGCAACCTTAAATGCATTTTTGTACTATAAGCAGCCTACTTTTTACAGATAAGGTACATCATTGAGAAGAAGGGATTAATCCATACAGAAGATGTACAGAAAAACATCTTAAAGATTGCAGTTCCAATATAGAGATTCTAGGTAATCACTTATTCATTGGGAATGTCCAATAAGCTCCATATGTACATAAAACATATCGACTTCCTGTAGATGTGGCCTACAGAGATTTATTTAGCTCAAAGGCTCTCATATTTCTCTCTCCACATGTCCACATGATTTTCTGAGAAGAACATTCTAGGCTTTCGGCTTTCCATTTCTTTTACCTCTCAGCTACATGACCATTACATCACCCACAGCCAAGCATAAACCTTAAAAGATCATAGTGTTGGACATAACATTATATTGGCACTGGGAATATTTGGAAACAGAAACAAAGACAGTAGATCAATCTGTGTTTGGTTTCAAAATTGAGTTTGGGCTGCTCACTGCTATATCAAGGATAACATCAAAGTTTCAATCAAATTGAGCTGATTGAAGTACCTTTCCCTTCTCCCCCCCTATTGCTATCCCGGTCTAAACTAAACCTTTTTTAACAGAAGTAATTTGTATTATTAACAAACCAGCTTTAAAAAAAAGCTGTAATGTAAGTCTACACTAAAAGCTAGTGGTGATAAACAAATGCTCCAGGCCTGAATTAAACTTTCTGTTATTATACTTCATGTTGTGTTTTTGTCTAATAAAAATTGTCATCTGAATTTAATCTAAACTCTAATCACACAGTATCAAATTTATTATTTCCCATCAACAAACCTTCAAGAGTTATTTACTACATATCTGTAATTCATAAGCTTTCAGTCACACCACATTACACTTCTTAACTTCTTCATTTTCTTCTGGCTAGCTACTCAAACATAAAATGGAATACATGATATCCAGCCTCAAAGTTCCGCTTATATAAAAGTTGACAATCTAATTCCTGCACCGAGAACACTTTAGGCACTATAGCTCTCTTATGATTTTTTTAGTTATACATAGATTGAGACATGAATATTTCCTGAATTCTTCGAAAGTCATGTTGTTTCTATGCAGATGCATGAAATGCAGTTTTAAGCAACTGTTACAAATAAATCAACAGCAGAACAATCAATACCATAAAGGCATAAACAGTACAAAACACTATCGTTCAAAGAGAACCTAGGTTCAAATTCTAAAATATACAAACCACAATAGAATGCAACCTTGTTTCGAACAACAATCATACTATTATCGATTAAATTCCAATACAAACAGCAAAACAGATACAAAATGAGTATGTCAATATTAACAAAATACAGAAAATAACGAAGAAGCAAACTGAAAGAGTACCTGAATTAAGCAGTCAAAATTCGATTGATTTGATATGTGTTCGAAATGAAAAAAGGCTAAGCCCTACTTACCGGAATCGGGAAAGAAGCTAGGGTTTTGCTCTCTGTGTGTATGAAAGCGGCGTTGTTAGGAGGAGATCGTGGGGAACTGAGCAAATTTGTTATTTTTCCGACTGGGTAACACTTGGTTGTATCTCATCGTTGATCTTATTAATCGTACGCTCCTCATTTTGTGCTTACTTTTTTTATATTTTCTTTTTTATCCCATGCTTTTGGGGTTTTATGGATTTGGCCCCCTTACTTTTTTTGTTTTTCATAAATAGAGGTAGAATATGTAGGTATGTTCAAAATCGAATCAAAACTAATAGTTCGAATTAAAAAATATTGACTTATCTATAATAGGCTATTCATTTTTTTGTTTAGTAATAATTTTGATTTTTTTTATATCCAATTATCGATTCTCAATGATTTGAGGATTTTTCTTGACTAACCAATAGTAAATTAATAAATTTTATTATATCATTCCTATATAGGATTTTTGACTTGTGATTTAGATTCATACTTTTATTTTTAACTATCTCGAACTATTTGTTATTTTACAAGGTGTTATGTTTGTTTTTTAGCAAAATGTAATTCATCGGCATAGTTCATTTGAGTAGTCTCATTATTTCTAAGTGATCTTCAATTTTAAAAGAATGTGTACATTTTAAACAATTAAATTGATAATGATAAAGTGATGTCTTAGTGGTTCTATAACGATTTAGAATATCTACAAATCGATAATCAATAAGTTAAATCGATAAACATCAAAATCAAACTGAACCGACCGGTACATAAGCCTACATATAAGGATTGTGAATGAACACTACTAGTTCCTTGGTGTTATTTGAATTGTAAATTTACGCATTTTGATTAAAGTTTTTTAAGTTATATTGAACTCGTACTCTCTGATTCACATTATTTTATTGTTATCATTAGTTTTATTAATGTATTTCTTTCATCAAGCTATTTTGAAATGATTTATCTAAGTGGGTGGTTTATAAAAAACAACATTTTCACTGATACGAAATAGATATAGAATATAAATACATTTTATTATTGCTAGTTGATATTAGATATAATTTTAAACTATATCAAATAAAATAACTTTGTTTTTATTCTTTAATGGTAAAAATTTAGCCCCCAATAAAATCGTAGGTCATATAATTAAGGATAGACATTTTCAAACGAAGACAAATTTAAACTTTTAACATAATTAGTTTAAGATAAATTTGACTATCCCCTAATTTTGAATTTTAACTTTTTTTTTTCTTCTTCCTATTTGTCTCTCCTCATCACCATTTTCATCATAAGTAATTAGATTTTTACTGAAAAGTTGTTAAAATATAAAAAGTAAATATGCGGCAAATTTCAAACTTGTCGGGCCTTATCTATTCCATCTCTCGAGCCTCGAAGAAAACCCCCTACCCTTCGGACTCCCCCAACAAACTTTTCTAATGGAAGACAATATCATTATATATGTATTAAAAAAAATTCCCTATACTAAAAATGTATCATTTTTCAACGAATAAGTGTTGATTGATACTTTCTAATACATATAGTTCTAAAACTGTTTATCATCACCTCCACCACCATTTTGTCTTTTATTTTCTTCTCGCTCTATGTCATTCTACGACTATCTACATTACAAAAAGAGAATGTACTAAGTGAGTTGAACATGCAATATAAAATAATATTTTCATTCAAATATAAAGTAACATGATCGAAAAGTGAGAAAATGTATACTCTACTATTTATTTGATATAATTTAAATTTTATAATTTTGCCCAATATCAAACATAAAATCTTCAAAATTTTATAAAATTTACATATATAAAATTAATATATATCACAATAAATAACAATTTAGATACTTAGAAATCGTTTGATGTAGGGTATAAAGTATAATAATTCCTATAATAGAATGTAGGATTATTTTATCTCATGTTTGGTTGGAGATATTAACTTGAATTATTTATTTCACTATTTCTATCATTGTGATGAAATAAATTTATCTTGAAATAACTTATTTTGAAATTACTGGCTCCCAACCAAACTACGTGGCAAAGCTCCCTTCTCTGCCGATACAACTCAACAATCTCAAATTCTATATAAACTCCATACACACTACAACCATTTAAGCGCTATCTGTCTTTCCAATATCACAATTTTGCAATAAAATTTTAATATTTCACCATACAAATTCGCTCCCAATTCAACTCCAACAATGGCGAATTCGCAGTCTTCTTCTCAAGATATCATCAGTATGGCCAATATCTCTCGGACCCATACCACATTCTATAGTATTCCTTTCTACAGAGACCAAATTGAAGTAACAGTTACAAAGAAAGGTTCGGAAGTGGATCGATGGATTCGGCAAACAGTTCAAATTCACCGTCGAAGACTCCGCGAACTCCTCGTCGGTCTCGACGTCAAGTGGCGGGAGACTCAAAACCCCGCCGAAGAAAACCCCCTGTTGCGCTCCTCCAGCTTTGCGTCGGCCACCGCTGCATCATATTCCAACTAATTCACGCAGATTACATCCCGAATTCTCTCCTCTTTCCTTAGAAACCCCAATTTCAGCTTTTTGGGAGTGAGTGTTAACGACGATTGTGTGAAATTGTACAAGAATTACACGTTGTTTGTGGCGAACCCAGTCGCTTTGAGCAAGCTGGTGATGGATGTTTATGAAATTGAAGCGTATGGGAGAATTGGGTTGAAGAGAATGGTGCATGAAGTTCTTGGGAAAGTGATGCAAAAGTCGTATCATGTTACGATGAGTGATTGGGATGCACAGGAATTGGTGTATGAACAAGTTGAATATGCTTGTATTGATGCTTTTATGTATTTTAAGCTTGGGCTAAAGTTGTTCTATGAGTTGCATTTACTTTTGGTATCTTGTATTATTACGAACCTATATGATAATCCTGAATAGTATACGGATTTTCTTGATACTGGTATGGAATTTGTGTTGATTATTCCATATTACTTACCGTATGTCATTTTTTGCATTTCCATACACTTTATATTCACTTCTATCGCAGTAGTCTTTATTCCCACCCCACCTTTAAGGACGGATTTGTGTGGAGGGTTTAGAGGATTTAAGTTGATGTGAATTCATGTTTTTTCATTAAATATTTAAATTACTGTATGTGTATCAAAGCTTAAGTGAGCTCCTTTGTGCAACGGTCCATGCACCGAAGTGTTATGTTTGTGTGTCAATTTTTGTTTTATAATGAAGAAAAATAGAAAAATATTGCAACTTAACGAAGTGTTTGTGTATCTTTAGTAAGTTATAATTCTCTCACCATTTGTTAAAGATTTGGGTTACTTGAGAACTGGTTTACTTCTTTTTAGAATAGAACATTTTCTTTGGTTATAGCGATGATGTACACTTGGGTTTTTTTTTTTTTTAAAAAAGATGTATAAAAGAAGGGGGGGAAATTCAATCTATATACAACTATACAAAACCACGACAATAAGTTACTTATTTTATACACTAAAAATCAAAAATTAAAAATTCAACCTAACTCGATAGTATATTTTGATAGTCATAATTAGTTTTATTTTGTTTGATATCCCAATCCGATGTTTGATATCATATTAAAATTCGACTAAATGTGGATTCGTGTCAAAATAAGTCTAAATTTGTTAGTCCAGATCCCGGAGGAAGGTCGACTTTAACAAATTTAAAGACTAAATATAAAACCCGAAACTGTGCACTGGAGATTGAAGTGTTAAACCCTAAACCCTAATTCTCTCACCGGCGAGTAAATTGACCTTGCTAAACACTCACACAGTAGGTGTGTTTTCTTTTGAATTCTGATTGCTTATTATTTTTTAATGATTGCAATTCCTTGATATGCCTAAGTTCTTTCATTCAGTTCAAATTTATAACATGTATTTGTGGTTGCTAATCAAATGTATCAAAATCTCCGGTTGGTACTGGGTTAGTGAAGAAAGGAAAGTTCATTTGGTGCTTAAAAAGAAAAAAAAATCATGTTTTATGCTTACAATGGCAAAATGGCAATAATTCAAAAAAATGTGGAAATTTGAAGTTTTTATGGAAGAAAAATGTTTAGCTGGGGAGTCATTGGGCAATGTTGTAGCTGAAATGAGAAAGAGTGGTTAAGGTCATGGATTTAGTATTAAAAATCCAAAGTGAAATAGATCAATATAAGGTCTGAAAGTACATTTACTGTTACTCCAAATAAGTTGATTTAGACTATGTGGTGAAGAACATTTAAGTGGGAGGAGAATCATGAGGTCTCATGTCAAATTCCAGCAAAACCAAAGAACAAGCCGAAAGTAATTGATGCTCAAACTTAGATGAATGAAGTGATGAGAGTGATCATTCACAATCACCAACCTGACAACGGTAGACTAAAAAACAATCAAGAGAAGTGAAGAGAGGAAGTGTACCAAAAAGTAGAGTTTGAGATGGTGGAAAATAGGAATCCACATGCTAAGCCTCCAATTTACCCTGAAATTCAGATTATTGAATGTTCAATTTAACCATATTGTTGTGGCTGCATGTTGACTGTGAGGTGTATGTTTCTCCCCTCTTATATATTTCTTCCCATCTGCATATGCCTAAGTCTAGGTGGACAAAGTTACTAGGTACCTTTGTTGGTGGGAAATAATTGGTACCCGGTGGAGTAGTCGAGGTGTAAGCAAGTTGACCAGTATAAAAAAATAAAAATATGGTAAAGTACATTTGATGTATAATTTACTGTTACAAAGATTGTTAGACTCAAATATCTGAAAATGTGTTCTAAATGTGGCTTGTCTTGATATCTATCTCATGTCTGATATTATCGTTAAAGCAGGCAATACAAAGTGTGTCTGTAATAAAAATGTTGCTCAGTTTGGTTTGGAGATCTTATGTTGTTGTTCGCCCTTTATCGACTGAAGCTGCGACAACAATGAAGTCCACAAGATCAGGAGGTGGAAATGGCATTACCACTAGTTTAGAAAGTGGCACTAGTATTGCCACAAGTACTCGTGGCATAGACACGCTAGGGAGGAGGCTTTTGAGCTTGATCTATGCAAAACGCAGTGTTGTCATTGTTATAAGCAAGTGGAAGGAAGAGGGGCACCCTGTCCGCAAGTATGAGCTCAATCACATCGTGCGGGAGTTGCGAAAACACAAACGATATAA